CACCCCTTGAGCCAGACACCCTCACATACACAGAATAACATTGTCATCATATCATTATTTTGTTTTATCAAGTGACATAATATCATACATAATTATGATAAACAACATTGTAACAATAAAAAAATAAAAAATAATTGCAAATTTCAAAATAAACTTGTTTATTTTACATAATTTTAAAAATATCACTTAAATGAAGAACTATATAAAATTTTAAAATATGAAGTAAAACACAATGTAACATGAGTATTTAAAACTAGTTGGCAAAGTCAACTTGTTTCTCAATACTCTCAAAGCTTCTAATTTTATTCTTTTTACTAATTGCTATGTGCAATATGTAAAACACATTTGTTTTGTTAATATTTTAAATTTTGTAATACTTATGTTATCTTTAATTGATTTGGTGTGGCATGTCATGCAATTGATGTTATTATTACCTTAACACACACAATCAATTTTTTGAAATCACACATAAAATTTTGTTGATTATTTTTTAATGTGAGTAGATTTAATATTTACACAAAAAAAAGTGTAAAGCAATTTTGTACAGTTTAATGAAAGATAACGGTTTTTTTTTTTTTTTAAGTATTATTTTATTAAAATTCTTAGTATTCTAAATTTAAAAATAATTTATTTCTTATGTTATTTTTCATATAAAATATATTTCTTTATAATTATGTTATCATTCATAATATAATAGAAGATGCTTTTGGTAAAACATTTTAGTATCTATATAAATAAATAAGAAGCTTAGTTACAAGACAAAGAGATAAAAAAAAAGCCTTCTCACTGGTTGAGATAAAAACATGTCTTCATTGGTCAAAAATATATGTTGTCTTTTTACAATAGAAAAATGTATATTTTCTTTTACATATTTTGCTTAATTTTGTATTAAAATATTTTTTCCACTTAATGGCATAGGTTTGCTAATATTAAGTAAATTTTTGGTAGCCAATCAAAAAAATAATAAAATAATATATATATATATATATATATATATATATATATATATGTGTGTGTGTGTGTGTGTGTGTGTGTGTATTGCATGTAATTAAAAATTATGTGTTTAATTAAAAATTGCATGTTTAAAATTATTAGCTTTAACATTCTTCAATATTGTAGTTTTATACATAAAGTATATATATGTAGAGACATACTTATACACATGCACATTTACACATATCTATATACATATACAAACCTTACTCAAAAACAATTCTAAATATTTATAATTGTTTCAGCTTTATACACAAAATATAATGTATAAATTTCAAATATTTTTATAAATATTTTTTTAAAAATATTAGTATAATTTTTTAAATTTTAAGAAATAAATTATGATTGAAAAATCATTCTTATAATTTTAAACTTATATTTTTAATTTTTAATTATGTAAAAAATTAATCTTATTATTAAAAAGTAAATTTGTTATGTGAATTGTATTTGTAACTAGTTAGAATGCAAAAATTTACTTTAAACAGACACTTGAATTGAATTTATGATTTTTTAAAATTATATTCTTTTATTTTTTTCATATAAAAAAAAATAAACAAACAAGATCTTAGTTATTACTAATGGCCAAGTGGGCAGTATACTAATTTTGTTTCAACTTAGGCTGGAATCTCACTGCCAAGATTCAAATCATAGCTTTGATCTCTTAACAATTTCGGATTATCTCAGACCACAGTTGAGATCTGTTTCATCTAAATACAACAATATTACAAATTTCTTAGGAATCCTCTTGAGTTTTATTTGATTTTTTTGAAATTTACAATATTTAGTGCAATACTCTGAAAATCTTAATTCAAAGATATATATATATATATATATATATATATAGTATTGTAGAACTTTATTTTATCTTCTTTTTTTTCCCTTTTTTTTTTCCATCTCTCAAATCCTTCTTGGTATGTGACTTCTTAATTATTAAGCTAAGAAAAAATCTCAACACCCAATCTTCTCTCAATCACATTCCTACTTTGTGTAAGTGAGGTATCTGTGGACCTCCTCGTGGGGGGGGAGAGGGGGGATGCCGAAGCAAATAAGAGCTGCCCACGGGCATTGAAAATCTTCAAAAGCACTCAACACCCTCCTCTTGTAGAATGAGAGCTGCTTTTAGATCCTTTTGCTATTATATATATATATATATATATATATTATGATTGCTCAAGGAGACAAGTAGTGGCTCTCACTCACCACATAGATGGATCTTCGTTTTCATCAAAAATGTTCATGTTTTGTGGAGTTCACAACCTATTTTACAATTCACTACTATATTTTACAATTGATTAGGGAGTTCTATAGGGTTCAAGTAGTGGTTCTCAATGCTTGCATGGATGGGTCTTCATTTTCATCGAAAAAATTCATCTTTTTTGAAGTTCACAAGGCATTCCATAGGGTGTTTTACAAATGATCAGGGCGTTCTGTAAGGCTTTTTGTAGTTGATCAAGGCGTTTCACAAGGTGTTCTATATTGTTGGTGATAGCATTGGAGCAACAAGAAGGTGATTAAGTAGGACAAAAGCAAGACAATGTTCATTATTTTGATGTAAGTGAATCAATTTCAATTAGATTTATGATGCATTTTTATGGTTCTAGTTGCCTTAGAAGCAACATTGGATTTCAATTTTCATTGAATTTTTTGATTCATCGTGTCAATTTTGATTGGATTTGATTTGAAGCTGCATTAGATTTTGATTTTCATCGGGTTCCAGAAGCTCATTCAAGAACGTTGTCTATGAAGGATTTTGATTTTGTTTCAGGTATGGACACTTGACCTCCTTGATCAAGTACTTGTACCTACTATGTACTGTATTTAATTATTATTTTAATGATTAATTTTATACAGTTCCATTGATCTTCTATCACATTCAATATTACTTCTCCATTGTTTGTTTGCTCCTTTTTATTACTATTGATTCTTTTTATGGATGAAGTTTCTACTACAAAATCAAAGCCTATTCTTTCATGATCTTCACAAGTCTGTTCAATAGGATTTGTTTGTGCATGTTGTCATACTATAATGAAGTTTCAGGTATTTATGTGATTTGTAAAAAAATTCACCTCCAAAGACATTTATATATATATAAGCAAGCAATTAGCTAATGTATCAATGCAATTGATTATATCATTCTTGTAGAATTGATTGCAAGCAATGCTAAGCGGAGCATATTAGAGCACTAACATCTAGAAGAAACAAGATTTCAAATGATTGAAAACCCAATAATTGCACCTATGAATCTAACTTCTATTGTACTATTTTTTGTGGCATTCACTTTAACAAGTTGTTATGTTTGTGCAAAAACAATTCATATATAAATTATTCCATAGTTTGTTGAAAATTGATGACAATTACAATATCAAGTTTGTAATTATTTTTTTGGCACAATAAATAGAAAAGGCATATAAGAATTATTGATTGTGTAAATGTGTTTTTGAACTATGTTGAATTTAAGTTATTTTTTTCTTTTTTCATTGTATTTCCAATATAAGATTAGCTTAATTATTATTATATGCTATAACATTTAAAATTTTCTCTATAGATGTGGAATAACAGAAAAAATGTAATTTGAACAAATTTTATAAAATAAATTGATGTTGATTTTTTTTTTCTCAAAATAAATTATTTTAATTACAATAGGTGATTGACTTAAAATTCAAGGAAAAAATCAAGTAAATGTTCTCAACTGTATTCTGTAATAATATCAAAAGATATGATGTTATAAATAAAATCAAAATCAATACACATTTTTATATAGAACTATATATATATATATATATATATATGATAATTTATTCAATTTCCTGCCACATATTATATATTTTAAAATTACTTTAATTCAAAATTTAAATTATTATAAAATCACCATTATTAATTTTCTTATTATAATATTAAAATATAATTAGTATTGTGTTTTTTGATTGATTTATTTGTGTTTTATCCATTTGTGAAGCTTGCATTTGCTACAGTATGACTTGATTTCTCATTCACCTAAATATTTTAAATACAATTTGTCTATTTTCACTTATTGTCTGTACTTACAACAACAATAACATCCAAGATAACATCATGTCAAAAGTTAGATATAAGTTTATTAATTAACCTTTTTTAGATCATCAATAATAATATGTTATTTATTGAAAATATGTAAAAAAATAAATAAAGCAAATTAAATTGTTTTACATGTGCAATTAATTGTACGTTAAGTTTATGACCTGATTTGTAAAAGATAAATTATCCTTAATAATATTTCCTCAATCTATCAATTTTTTTTGTTTCTAGACTTTGTTGTTATATTAATGTAGAATTAATTTTTGAAGAACCTTAATGCAAAATTTCCTACTAATGTGTAAGGTGAAATGCTTAAGAAGCTAAGATCTTGATATAAACAAACTAAACTTTTTGGAAATCTGTGTCAAAAATCCGTGACAATGACAAAATATATATATATATATATATATATATATATATATAGAATGAATTAAAATATAATGGGTTATCTTTCTATTGCAATTAATTCTATTATGTAATCACACTCATTTAAAATAATATATTATGTCCTAGTTTGACCTTTACATCGAATGTGTTGCTGATGGCGAGAAGTGATAGGAACTTACCCCCCACCCCACCCCCAATAAAGATAGGAACAAAACCATTAAAAAAAGCCCTCTGGTGCTTGGAACAAAGCCAGCTCTCTCTCCCCTCACATAGAAGAGGGTGAAGAGTAATGAGAGTATAGAACAGAACAGAACTGAATAGCTGGGTTTGCTGAGAATACCGCGCGTTTCTTAAGACAAGGACGAGGGTTCAGGGCACAACAACACCAACACCACAACCAGCACCGCGACGACGACGACGACGACGACAACAACAACGACAACGACGACGACGACGACAACAACAACGACAACGACGACGACGACGACAACAACAACGACAACGACGACGAGGGGATGATGAGCATGGCCTCCCGCCCGCGCCCGCAACCTCCGCTTGTTGTTTGCCTTGGTGCGTGCGTGCCCGCGGCCTCCTTGCGCCACCTCTGCATGCCTTGAACCGATTCGAAGCTCCTTAGCGCGCCCCCATGATTCCACCGCGCACCACGACCCCTCAACCTCTCACCCCGCCCCGCCTCGCCCAGCCCCGCTGCGCTCCCCATCCCAGCCTGGTTGCGTGATTGAGCAATTGCAATGCTGTGTGACTGCACCTCCCCCGCGCGGCCACTAGGGTTTCGATTCCCAATCGCAGGCAAGAAGCTCGGGTCATGGCTGTGAGCGCGTGAATTGTGAGCGAGGACGGAGAGGTGCGGGAGAGGCAGGAGTTTTAGTGCGCGGGAGATTGGGTGGGTTTTAACGAAAGTGGGGAGCGAGTGTGGCGACCAGAGGTTTGCGGAGAGATGGTGAGAGAACCCTAACTTGAGGAGGAGCGGAGGAGGGAGCAGGGAGTGTTGGCTCCGCAAGCTGGGATGCTTCCAAGGAGGCGAAACGTAATGCGTGCGAGGTGGGGTTCTTTGGAATGAGGAGCAGGAGTGAGGTGTGAATTCTGGTAGTTTATGGGGAGTCTTTGTTGGGGGGAAGCTGGGAGTTGATGATTGGCAGGGTGGAGGTACAGTGGGTTTGTTCGAAGGTGATGTGTATTAGAAAGGGGAGGGAGTGAGCGTGGATCAGAGGAGGAGAGGTAGACATGGTGAACCCGGCGAGCGTGCCTACGGGGTTGTCCAAAGTGAGGAGGGAGAGGGAAGAGGAGAACGCGGGTGTGGATGTTCCGAGCAAGAAGAGCAGGAAAGCTGGGCAGAGCGGAGTGCCGGAGCCCACTCCCGAAGCGGGGAATCAAATTGCGTCGGGGAAAGGAGAGGATGAAAACAATGGAACGTTGGAAGAGAATGCAGAGGGGGCTCCCCAAGAAAATGCAGAAATTAGTCACAAGAGTGACCCAGCTTCCGTGGAACCATCAGCTATACCCACAGCCACTCCAGAGGCTGCGACCCGGCCTGAAGCGCCTACTCAAGAGGTGTACAGAATACCCAGCTATGCAGGTGCTTGAAACTCAGAATGCCTTAGTATTCCGGTGTTGTACTGGAGAATAGGGAACTGCTTGATGTATGTGTGCGTGTGTATGTGTGGATAGGCGTAGGTTTCTCTAGCTTGTTCTAATATTGTGCGCATGAAAATATGGAGACTTGGAGGTTTGTTTTGGAGGTTTGTGATATGCATGATTTAAAAAATAAATAAATAAATAAATAAAATCAATTCATTAACTGGTGCAATTACGTTGTTTCCTAAGCTATCTGCCAAGGCAGTCTGCCAGTTGTGCACTTTGTTTGATCGGAGTCTGAGAAACTTTGTGAATATCTTGAACCTGGAGTGATGGAGTTGCATAGTCTTTCAGGACATAATATGGCATTGGTATTTGCGTTGCCAGGGTGATCCTATGTTGCTATTGGAAGTTGTGATAATACCTGATTTTGATGATATGTGTTTGAGCAGCTTGGTTTCGTTGGGACAAGATTCACCCATTAGAGAAACGAGCGATGAGCGAATTTTTCGATAAGAGATCAGCCGCAAAAACACCGAGAATCTACAAAGAGTACAGGGATTTCATAATAAACAAGTACAGGGAGAATCCAAAGCAGGCTCTAACGTTCAATGAAGTGCGGCGCATGTTGAGTGGTGATGTGAATTCTTTGAGTCGAGTGTTTGAATTTTTGGAACACTGGGGGCTGATTAACCAACATTTTTCGTTGGATCAAGCCGCGTCAGAGGCGCCTTCTCCGTCGCTGAGTGTGATGGATTCTTTCCCAAGCAGGCTGAACGTGATCAGTATGCCCGTGATGAATGCTGCAAGATCGTCAGGAATATCCACATTTGAATCATCAGGTAGGTGGCAATTCTGTGCAGACGGGTCACAAGCACTTGCTGAGCAGGTTTGACCAATTTCACTCGTTAAGCTCGTGCAGCGAATCTGGCTATGTTGTTTATGCATCTTGAGTCAGGCTACGATGATTGAGCGTCACTTCTACCTCGTTTCCCCCAATTACATTGGTTTGATGGTGTTCGGAAGTGAGTGACGTACGCATGAAGGTTTTTATCTCTGACGGCTGATTAAGTGTGGGCGGAATTAAGTTTGGCAGCATTTGATCCGTTTACATTAACATGAAAATATGTCATCGAGAACTGAAGCTGTATCTTGATTTGCCAGGTCACTCTATTAGTGGTACCCATGCGAACAATCTTGCTACCCACAGGAACGTTTTCTCGCCCGCAAGTAAGAAAGTGGGAACTCGTTTTGTGGATGGGCACAAGACACCAGATGAAGAATTACGTTGTCAGTCGTGTAAAAAGGAGTGCTCAAAGCAACGGTTCTATAGGAAACAGGTGAGTGCTGAAGGGATTTCCCTTCTAGTGTAAGCCTCACCATCCCGGCGTTTGCTTTCTGCTTCGAGAGTGTTTTCATCCTAATATGCCTGACGTCTTGACTTGCTGCATGCATGAAGGAAGTGGCGGCGGTAGCCACGCCTGTCATTTAAGGAGTGTTAGGTGCGGTAGTGTGTTTAAGTGTGGTATTTAAGTGGACAGCAGCTGTGTGGGTGCGTCAAATTTTTGTGGTGGCTTGTCGTTGCTTACTAATTTGGGTTGTGCATCCAGCAACCTGGATCCAATTTTTGCCCGGATTGTGTGAAGAAAGGCAAGCTACCACCAGGCAGTTCGTCAAGCGACTTTCTGCAAGCAACAGACGGCGAGGCAACTGTTGCAACTAAAGAGTGGACAAGCAAGGAGACATTGCTTCTTCTTGAGGCCGTGAGCCGCTTTGGAGAGAACTGGAATCAGGTAAGTAGGACCTTTTTATCATTTTCCTCGTCAGAAGTTGGTCGCAGTGATGTTATTAGACTAGGACATCATGGGTAGGAACGGGGTTGGTGGGCAAGTAGAATGATGAGCCAGCACTTTCATTAACCATTGACGTAAGGTACTGATAGTTTTGGCGACAACCTGTGGACATATGTACGATGGGTAGTGTAGCACGCTTTTGTAGCAGTTGCTGCCTACTTGAACGCGTATACCGTATTTGTAGCTTTTGCACGTTTTAAGAAAATGGATGGGTTGTATTTTGGAGATGCTGCTATTGTATGTTTGCTTTCAAAACAATAACTTTTTTATACTGATAATAGACTGCTAATGCTGTGTCGGTATATGTGTTTACCCAATTGATCGCGAAATGTATGATGTGAACAACTTTAAATTTACTTGTAGTCGTAGTTGTGGTTGCCTGTGGTGGGTGAAATCCAAGCTAGAGTGCCCTGATGTTGCGACTTGCTGGCTTATGTTACCGATTCTTGTTGGCTGCAGGTTGCTGCGCATGTGCCCACGAGATCGAAATCTGAATGTGTGAAACATTTCATCGAGCTGCCATTTGGAGACAGCTACAGTGTGGAGCCCGAAGAGCCAAAGGCCACTCGTGTTGCCGGTTCTGGAGCAGCCGAGAATGATGAGTTAGTAATGTCTGAGGGCACGACGGAGGCTGCCTTGAGCGATAGCACGGCGGCGAACGGGATAGCTCCACCTGAGAGTACCTGTGAAGCAACACAACATGCAGAGGGCAATGTTGTAACTGCTGCACATGACTTAGTGTCTCCATTCACTGACACAAGTCATCCACTTTTTGCTCAGGTAATAAGTTAGCTCGTGCAGATGCATTAACTTATACAACGTCTAAGGTTTTTGCTTGAGGGTAGGACATTGTGTGAGAGTGATCACCGGTTGCCGCCATTCTGAATCTTTGTATGTAACACGTAGGAGTTCGGTGTTGATCGTCATTGTAGAATCTCCGAAATACTCGGTAACGAATTTGGGCTCGCAGTCCATCTACTAGCAGTTTGAGTTGCTTTTACTCAGCTTGTATCTACTTCAGTGTTGCAATTTGTGCTGGGACCAAGCCACATGTTCAATGGATGAGGGGATCTACTTTGTGGTTTCAGGTAGTATTGCTTTCAGGAATGGTAGGGCCACGGGTTGCAGCAGCGGCAGCACAGGCAGCTGTTGCAGCAATTGCAGAGGATGAGCCAGGGGTGTTGGAGCTGCCGTTCATGCAAAGGTCGAGAATGGTTTCAGGTCAAAAGAAGCATGCATCTCAAACTACACAGAATCATGCCGAGAGGTACCTGAAAATGAGCCCATCGTGAAAGATTTATGTAGAGTTTTAAGATTGCTAGATAGGCGCCAAAGTAACTGACGTGTGCCGCATCATATACATTTAGATTCAGCAGATTGTGTAACACTAGTCACTCTGGTACTAGGAATCCTCATCTTTAGAGTGCGGTGGGTGTTTTTGCCGTATTTTCATTTTGCTTGCTTACTGTTGCCGAAGCTGGCTCCAAGTGTTCACTTTCTTTGCTTATGTGATGTGTCACAGTTTGGTGGAGGATCGCAATGATGAACTGCAGTGCAACGGCGATGGTCCACCACGAGGTACATTCTCGTCTTTCTTGTGTATGTGTGGGAGCTTCGTCAGCTGTGGGTTACCAGATGGGTGTTATCAATCGATTGATTATTGTTTAGTCCTGCAAGTTAGAAACCCTTTTTTTATTTTTTAATCTTGCCGAGGAATCAACTTCTGAGAAATCTGCACTTCCAAACCTATCGGATGCAGCAAAGCCAGGTGCAAGCAGTGAGGAGTTGCCATCTGCTGTTCAAGCACGGGTTGGCGTGGCCACAGCACTGGGCGTGGCTGCTGCAAATGCAAAGCTGCTAGCTGATCAGGAGGAGCGGGAGATTGAGCATCTGGTTGCCAGCATCATCGATAATCAGGTATAGTCTTTTCACACATTTCAAGTTGGTGTAGCTTTGGCTTCATAAGCTGATTTACTGAATAGATGTGCAAAGAAGAACCGCTCTTGCTGAGTTATCCTGGATGGGTTGTGTTACTGGTCTATACCCTGATGCGTTATGGTAGAAGATTGTTTACTGGAAAGGGGTTGTTTGATTGCAGATGAAGAAGCTGTACACTAAGCTAGAGCATTTTGAGGAGTTGGAGATGCTGTTGGAAAAGGAACGTCTGGAGGTTGAGCGAGCACGACAACAGGTATATGCGGATCGTTTACGTTATGCGGAAGCTCAAACAGCAAGCGCAAAATCGTTGCTAAGAAACCCTGCGCCCAGTTGACAGCACGTTTTTTTATGTTGGAATTCAATTCGTCTACAATTGTGAAGAGGTTGAGTCAATTAGAGAAAGCTACGTGGGTGGTAGCACTTTCCGCTCTTCCCAGTTTTTCAATTAGTGTAGGTGTGGCCAGCCTGCGCTGGATCAAAGTTCACTCAGCACTTCGTCCTTAATTTGTAAGAATATTCAATGTCCATAATTTTGACCCTAGTGGCAAGGTTTGCCAAATGTGGAGACTGCATTTGAGTGTGACAGTCCCAATGAATTAATGCATCATCCACTGTTAACTTGAGCAATGAGTCTCTAACGATGAAGGCACTAATGGCTACTGTGCTGTAACTGCGACGTCAAGAATGTGTGCTGTAGTCTGATAAGTAAATAACATATGAAGTGATGTTTCTTTAAGTGAAGATTGGTTGCCGTGAATCATGCGGTGTTGACTGGCAGCCTGCATATTCCACTTTTATTATTGTGAATTGAGCAGGCACTGTAGGTCACCGGAGTTTCCTCTAGTGTTTCTTCCTGAAAATGATCCAGAAAGGGCTTCAGACGACCAAGTACAAAAAACGAGAAGCCATATTTTTGGAAGTTGAACTGATCATCAGGACTTCATTTTCTATACATTAGTCCATATGTTCAAGATTCTCTCGCATCTTGACTACGCTGTTTGCGAAGACAAATCAAGATGTCACTGTAGAGATGTGACATAGAGCTAGTTTTATTTCAAAAGGATATTCGGTTGGAGAGTCTGCCTCGATTGTGTACTGACCCGGTTGCGACGTGCACTAGATGCTGGCTGGAGTTGACACCACCTCCTCCCATCAAGCTACGTCTTCCTATTCATATCATTCAAGAGTATCTTGCTCCGCTTCTGATCTCAAGGTCTCGTTGGGTTGAATTACTTCTGCTGTAGATAATGGAAACTCTGGTGGGATAGTGTTATGCGATACAGGCCTCATTGGTACATGTTACGTTGGTTCAGCAGGGCTACAACTCGAGACAACTGATCTACACCCAACTCGAACCAATAAAAAGCTTGACAAATATCTCAGGAGAATAACTGTCTAATCTTTGTCCAAAACATTGAAAGCACCTTTGCCAACTCATTCGACAGCACCCGATCCATGCTGTGTTGCGTAAAACTGAAGTCGACAATATAGCTTACATACACATCAAAAGAACATTGTTCCATTGATTATCAGACCAACAACTTCACACCTTTTAGAACGTACTGGTAGTTGAAACGAAGACTCAGGAGACAACTCTTGTACAAGTTGTATAGTTTTACACTTCAGATGTTCAAACCTTTTACGAATTCTTACTAAAACTTCTGCATGTTGAATTAATGAGTTGATCGAATCGAATTTTTAGCAGACTCATGGTAAATAGATGAATATTTGAAGAAAAGACTAACACATTGAAAACCCTGCAGCGAGTTATGGGGCATGAGACGAGAGGTATTCCAACCGTGGAAATGAAGATAAGCTGAATGCTCGATTCTGTGAGCAGAATTCTACTTCAAAAACAAAAACGAAATTGACGGACCGCCCTGGGTTCGCCTTGAAGAACAAACATTCTGCTGACTTCACCACTGCTGACCCTCAAGTCATTCCGTCTATTCCAGATCCGTTAGTTCAGCACAGAAGCAGAGACTGCTACTTTCATTAGAGTCAATGATATGAACAATCAAGTTTGCAGAAAGCACACCTTCATAATTGAGGATATGCCACCAATCTGGTCATAACTGCCTTTGCCTCAGCTAATAGATAACATTGTACCAGCTGACAAAAGAAAATTGCAAACCTACAATTAGCTAGGTAATAAAGAATCTGCCCTTTCGTGGCCATGTCCATGATATGATTTACAGAGTCACTCTTTCTGGACTGTAAAACACTGTGGTCCAGATTATGTGACTCAAACCTACCACACCCACAAATACAACCAAAATCGTCTACTGATACCATCCAAATCTGTAGTGAAACCATCCGATGAGACTGCTGATACCATGGAATTAAACTAATTCGGTCTAGGTAGAAGATTCTGATGAAAATCACCTTCGTGCGCCACAATGAACATTTTTGTTATGAAGATTGATTGATTGATTGAGTAATTGATATTTTTAAAGAACAGTAGCCCTAGTTGGCACAATAATGCTGGTATGAGCATTGTGCACTCACGAAGTACCAAATGACAGTATCATGTATCATGCATGCAATATTTGACGAATTTATACTGACGAATTTATACATATTAAAATGTATAAATTATTACTGAAAAATTTATATGCATGATACTGTCGTTATACTGTCAAATGTTTAGGACAGGCTTTCATACATTATTAGATGCAGTGCATGGACAACTAAGGAATTTTTATTATTAAAGTTTTTGGTTAAGGGATGGTGACACATACAACTGAGATTTGCAATGGAGGAGAACAATGAAAGAAAGCTTTTGCTAACCAACCAATGAAGTGGGTCAATTGAATGAACCAACTAAGGTGCATTTGAAGCAATGCGTAGAATAAGTAATAGGGATAGCATTCAACTTATATCTTGAGTAAGATGAATTGTTTTCTACCATAGTTATTTCTAGCAAAGTATCATCTAAAAGTTATGCACAAAGCTACTCTAGATTATGGTATGTATCAAGTTTTGAACAATTAAAGTAGATTATGACATAGAAAAGGAAAGAATATATTACTTAGGAAGATATGTGTTAATTTTGTATTTTTTATGTAAAAAACTATCCTACAAAAGAAATAATTCTATAATTAAAGAAATATACTAATTAAACAGCAAACACAACAAATGATGCTATCTTTTAAAGAAAATATGTTGGCAAAATTACTTTTATGTGAAAAAAATCTATGGACATTATAATGATGGACAATAGATTTTGATGCTTTTTCCATAGCAAAATTAACATATATCTTTACAATTGGATCGTACATGTTTTAAGTCCAAGATCCTAACTTTGATCCAAAAGTCACACAAAATCTTGACATAGCTATAAAATTTGGAACAAGTAAAATTCTCACATGGATTATTTTTTGTTATTTTTTAATTCAATTTGTAAAGATTACTCCACAAGCAGTTGTTAAAATTATAAGGTTAATTTGAAGTTATAGCAAACAATAAAAAAATATATTGAACTAAGTATCTTTTAGCCTTTAATTCTATAACAGATTAAAATTTAAAGTCTAGACAACCAATCATATTATCAACAAAAAATTTAAAAAATAAAAAATAAAAAATCATTGATTATAATAGTTTACAGATTAAAAATGGATTTGTTTTTGAAATAATAAAATAATACAATGAACTGTTAAAAAATATAAAAGCAATAAAAAAAATTCTTGAAGAAGGGATAAATTATAATATCATTTATAGTCTCAACTAACACATTATTGCTTTTAAAGGACAATAGATCAAGATATTCAATTCAATAAAACAAAACTAGATACTATAAAATTATACTTTGTATAGACAATTTCACCATAGTGAAGAGGCAGTAAATTAATTTTCACAGATCAAAATTACAAGGAAACAAAAATGAATGTGCTAGAATATTAAGAATTAATCTTATTTCTATAAAAGACCATAAATTTACACAATGTTAGTACAAACCAATTTATCTAAGCATACACAGCTAAACATAAATAAAATGTTTTTAGACACAAAATAAGGATAAAAGTTTTTAATTTTTTAAAAAATAGAATTGATACAATGGACTAAAAAAAGATATTTTTAAACATATTAATTATTAAAAAAATACAATAAATAATAAAGAAATATAAAATGCTATTGCCTAATATTTCAATGAATAGAGCTAGTATTAACTACAAGGAATACAAAGCCATAATATGGTTCTTATGGTACAAGGGAGTGGTTGTTAATGTTAAGGGAGCTAGAGAAAACTCATGAATTATGGGATGAACTCACCACAAATTCTGGAAAAAATAATAGATTGATTTTATTAATACTTCCTAACAAAATGCATATAAAAGTAGACCACAAGCTTGCTCAATAAAATGGTAACCATTTAGAGAAGGTCCAGACCATAGAAGCCTTTTACTTAACAACAATTAAATTTTTTTGAACCAATATCCACAAGGTTTAAACGTTGTAAAATCACTTCTAAATATCTACATGTGAACAATATGGATTGAGTGCAATGCTCTCACTTTCGAAGGAGAAATATGGAAGGACAATCATATAAGACAATGAATGCGGAAAAACCCCCAAAATTATAACTGCATAACTTAGAAATAAATCTCAGCAAAATTAGAAAAAAAAATCCTTATTATAGCCAACTATCACTTAGTAGATGAGATAAAAATATGGATGACAAAAATGTTAATAAGACAAATAGAAAGAATAAGTATAAAATAGCTACCTAGAATTCCACATAATGATTTTAAACTATACTTTTGCAAGAATATTTAACAATGTAAATTTAAAACCTCCTATGAAGTTGTGGTCCCTACGTCCACCCATTATGGGTTTTAGAACTTAACGTGAAGTGTGCTCTGGACTCCTAAACTAATCTAAGCAACTAGTAAACTTAGAGCGTGTCAACAATAAAAATAATAATAAATGATCACAGTGTAGAATAACTTCAAAGACGTTAAATAACTTTTGAGTGAATCGTTTCATAAGACTTCCGCGACTTCAATAGAAAAGCAGGGTCAGAGTTAAGAAAGCTTCGAAGGCTGGTTACCTGGGGACGAGGCATGCAACAATCCATTTTCGAAGAAGCCTTGCTGGTAACAGGACACCAATTCTGTAGGAGTCTCTTCGGTTATTCACAGAACTGAAAGCAACGCTGAAATTTGTACAGGAGGTTGATAAGACTCACTTTTTCTTTACATTATGTTGTCCCAATTCATTTCTATTTGAAACTTCAAGTGAACTTTCTATCTTATTAATTACTAGTCTGCAACAAAGGAAAGAAAAGATGTGGCCTAAAAACTAAACAATGCATCATAATTTTGAAGACCGAACATCAAATTATACCTTAAAATCACTTCTCACAAATCGAAAATACTGAAGAGAGTGCAGGTACATTCTGGGTAAGTACTAGCAAATGTGAACTGCTTGATAGGATGTAAAAGGCTCGGTCAGGGGACGATGATAGCAGGAAGAGTGTCCAACTACATGTCAACTACATTCCAGATTAATGTACTCGCCACACACAGCCGTGCTCTCATCATACACAGGAGATGTGCACAGGCTAACACCATTTACAAAAAAACAAGGGAGGTTTAAACATAACCCAGAACTAAAAGAACGGATGCAACCCTACATTTGATTCAAAAGTCCATTGAGATGTGAAAACATCTCTAGATGTTATTTTTATATATACCCAGGTACGAGGGATTCCCCATGACCGATATTTACAGAGGTTAAAAGAGAATAAAATTCTCAGTATCGGCAATTGCCAAATAGAACACCCAAGTATACATGTTCGTTGTGTGCTACGCTGAAGTGCACAGGGTAAAGTTATTATGTACAGGTAAATGCTGAAGAATGGGAAGAGATGTAGGGGTTATGTAGATTCCACATAACCTCATGGTGATTTGCAGCGCAGGATCCCTGTATGTACAAGATGTGCATTCGAACAAAGGGGATACACCCTAAAATTGTAAACGACAGTGGTAGATCTGCCCAATCGAATCATCGAAGATAAGTTGTGGGAGTGCTTACCACCTCCATGCATGCTGGAGCCCATTATCAAAGATAGACATAATCTTGCCACCAGATGATTGAGAGAGTAAAGAGCCTACTTCTGTTCGGCTCTAACCATTTGCCGGAATCCTAAGTATAGATGACTGGCGATAGCGGAAATGGTCCTCCAATTAGAGGAAGGCATGGTATGAGAACACCACGAGTAGATGGCCACAGCTGATGTACTGAACCTTCAAGCAGCGACAAAAGAAAAATATGCAGACCTGACCAGTTGCCATCAAAGACAGGTCAAGCAAGATATTTTGTCGCCTACACATGTCTTGGGTAATTGTAAAGATCTTCACTCGGACTAATTACCTTGTACGTGTGTTATGAAGTTGCTTTGTGTTTCATGCTGAAGATGGAGACAGCTCGTGAACTGCGAAATAGTTTCAAACCCTCCAACCAAGACCTTGCAGAAGGCGTTCCGACGATTTGATAAACTTGGAAAATGGAGACGCATCCAGAACGCGAGCGCCTTCAGAAGCTGCAGGTACGGCATGAACCTCCAAGAATGGATTTTCTTTCCGGATAGCTTCCACTTTCTTGAGGTCGACAGGGAGACCGTTTACATCAGTGACGTAGAAGGTGTTCACAGCCTTATCACCTTGAGTAGAAACTTCAGCCCTTGTGACGGAGAGACCATTCTCACGAAAGGTTCGCGTTACCTCGGTCAGAAGCCCCGGTCGGTCGGTTGTGCACAGGTATAGCCGCAAACCCTGCAAATAAAGATTTGAAAGGAAGTTCTTATAGAAGATCATTGTAGATTAATCCACATCCATAAATTGGAATCCAGGAAAATCTGTCAAGGAAACTCTAATTGGAGGCAAACCGTTACACATCCATGCATGGGGGCAATATCTTGTCATACATAAATCGAAACTTCTGATTACAATAACTTCAATCAACACTTACTTCAGAGGATCGACGCTCAATAGCTGCCTCCAGGCATCTTTTTACCTTCGCCTTCGCAGGATCATCAAGGGTTCGACCATCCATGCTACGGATATGATACTCCTGCGCGCTCACAACATTTCCAATGAATACGAAATCGAATTGGCGAAGAACCCACCATGTATATGGATCGTGTAACAAGTTCTAACAAGGATTCGCCCGCACAATAGATCTTGAAAGTTTCACAAAATCTCCAGAGAGGCATATCATTGAGCCTGGGCAAGTTTATAAAATAAATAGTCTCAAAATTGATGACGTACCTGAACTGCATACGAACCAGAAGGATAAATGGTAGCATGAGAGACCACATATTTCAAATCTGTCAATGTGCACACGGTATCGAAAAGTAACTTCGGTCTATCCAGGCATTGCACTTTAACAACTGAGTAATTCTTCTCACTTCCGATCTCAACTGTGATATTTGGATTTTTCTGTTTCCTACTTGATATCTGACTCTGCGAAACTGAGGGGTCAGAATCGTGATCGGCGAGCATAAGCTGATGCAAACGTCTTTCGACGTGAGTGAAGCTCTCTGCTACAACCGATCGAGCAACTTTCTCGTCATCACAACCTTGCATGATAGGATTGAGTTTCTCTAATATCCTTTCCAATTTTCTGACATTTTCAATGGGCCCCAAAGTGTCCTCGTCTGTTACGTACATGACGCAGGCTACTCGACGATTGTGAGTCCATACTTCTGCAGCATTTACTCGACAGGACATTTCAGCTAAGACAGCTGTAACCTCAGAAAGTAATCCAGGTCTATCCGTTCCAGTGAGTTCTATCGCTGTGTGCTCAGAGATTGTCTGTGTACCAACGCTCCTCCCAGGACACTTTTGAAACTCAGCTGTCCATTTTTTTTTCTGCAATGACAAAGCCTACACAAAAACAGAAAGACGTTAAAAAAGCGCAATTCAAGCTGTACAATCAAATAGAGAAAGAAACCTCTAAGATCAAAGCAATACATATAAGTTTTAATTCTGACCTTTTGGATATTTCCAATGAGTTTTTCGTCACGAATTTTCAACCCTTTCTGGTCCGTAACATGAAATACTGCAGACAGAACGCGTGAATGACAATGTTAGCATGCGATTCTATGAAGAGACACTATCAAATCATTGACTATTATTTTACAACTGCAGATGACCAGAACTAGGCTTGGTCAAGAAAACAATGACTCACCGTCCATGAACCAGCCTCCATCAGAAGTAATGTAGGCCTTTGAAATTGTTAAGTCCATATCCATCAGCTCTTGCACGACTTCGAGCAGAGTTCCATGTTTGTTCTGACTGCTGACCTGCATACACATTCGACAAAAGAAACAATAAAGGTTTAAAGTAGTGACATTCAACTATCGCTTGCTGAGAAATCTCCAACAAAAAACACATTCTTGTGGAAAGTTTACTACAGGTAACTACATGCAGCAGTATCGAGAGTGCAAATCCATGCGGTTATAATTTCGTGCATATCTTCCCCCACACTGACGTGTAGCGAAAAGAGGTCTCGAGATCCACAGCTACACATGTTCAGTCTACTTTGTGTCCTCAAAATCCCAGTTCGACAGCGACCAAGGCACAGGGTAACTAGGACAGTATCGCGCATCCCAAGGCGCAAGAAGTAGCTTACCCTACGAAGCTTTAAGACTTCAAGAAATTTTACAGTAAATCTCTGAGTTGACACGTGAAGAATACGTGACTTAAAGGTGTACAAATTCAGAGATATATGCAGAAAACTCAAGGTTCTGCCCTCTTGAGCATTACTGATCTACTGGAGCAAAAGATGTGGCTCAATACCTTCACAAGAGTGGCATTCTTCTCAGAGTCATTGTCAATCATAACCCTGCAAATAGATAAATCAAAATCAAAAAATCATGTTAGGATGGCCACGAATTTGAAACAGCTACACACACGAATCATCTTAGAATGAGGAGAGTCAATTCAAACAGTCAAACCACAACCACACACTTACTTCGGGGGGTCAATGATAGAGCTCATAGTATCATACTCCGGATCAAAATACGGCCAACTCCTGCTTGAGGTCATGGTCGGTGCATTACTAAGGGACATCGGGCTAGCCAACATGTTGACGAATTCCCTGCGGGCACCAAACATCACGTGAGTCAAACAAACAAACAAACAAACAAACAAACAAACAAACAGACAGGCAGACAGACAGAACAAATTCTAGGAAGGTAGCAATACGTCGAAGATGAGTGGCTGGACTAATGCACAAACCAGCATAATTCTACATGTACCAAGTGAAACAGAATTAAAAATATACATAAGAACATAACTTCGCAATCTACTCTCAGATGCAGGAGGTGTGTTGAGCGGACCTCCCAACACAGGAAATTCAGGCTGAGACCAGAAACGCAAGGACGTACCACGGGAGAACAAGAAACCTTCGAAACAGTCTAGTCTTGCAATCTAAACATCTTTTGAAAGGAATCTTGCAGTTCACTCAGCGTATTAGCAGAAGAAAAAAATACATCGCCTCCAAAAATCTTCCACGGTTCGATAGAACTGTTACCAGGTTTGCATCTACTTCTCCAACTCCAAAGATTTAGTCTCAACACAAATATGAGCTATGCTGAGCGTTTTCAGAAACCGTTTCTCGAATACATTCCTCACATTTAGCCATGAATGCACACTACGTAGAGACGAAATAAGTATTCTCGACCAGCCGTTTCTTCAAAAAAAAAAGACAACACAAATAGAGGAACGAAGGACGAACGCACAAATTCTCTCTCTCTCTCTCTCTCTCTCTCTCTCTCTCTCTCTCGCGCGCGCGCGCTCTCTCTCGGTCTTAGCGTATGTGCGAGCGAACACTGCACAGAGCGGTACAGAACATAAGATTCTAATTTCTCGAGTTGGAAGACTCGAAGATTATAACCTCCTAATCTCTTCCTCTCTAACAATCACAAAGAATGTGTACACTCGGAACACACTCGGAACACACGTCAGTACGAACCACGTGACGCAGCGAGCCTGCGATTACCAATCAGTTTTCCACAACCACAAAGAAACGAAACCTTGTCAATGCCACCACAGGGATGCTTAATTTCCGAAAAAGCAATGGAATCTTACCTCCTCTCTCCCCTTCTCTTACAGACAATACCCGGACAAACTGCCACTACCTTCACTAGCGTTAAGCAGCAACGCATCCATTAACCCTTATAAAAAACAACTTTCTAACAACAAACAGCGCGTCAATTTAAATCATCCCGTTTTGTCCTCTCACTCTTCCTCCCTTGCCAGCGCAAAAGCCAACCCTCCCTGACTCACCACAAGGTCGACAACGCATCACTCACCGCGTCAATCAACGCAAATCACATGATACCGCATCACATATCAATCAACAAGCTCCGTCGACAGACCACCCTACCCCCTATGCCACTTCAAACTCGGCCACTGTAATTCAACCCCAGATGATAATACACGACGGAAGTCTCTGAAAAATAAAACACCACTGAGACGAATTTACGAACAACAACTTGGTCCTTGCACAGCCAAGCATCCACCTGCGCCGATTTTCCTCATTTGAATACCCCGGCAGGGATCTTACCAGCCCGGGGGGGGGGGGCTCTTTTCCAAACATTTCCCACCCCAAAGAAGAGTATTCTTTTTCCCCCAGAGGGGGGCAGAAACTTTTAATACGAAATGGTGCAGGCTCTGTGGCAATATGACAGGGCCGGGCCCAGGGGACTAATCCCTGCACCCACCTGCGAAAGTCACCTTTGGACCATTGCTGATAATATGTTCTCCGAAATCCCGATCATATCTCTCCATCCAATGTAACCCAATGCAAATAAATACTAATTTCCGATCCATGAAATCGTCATTAGATATCAATTCCCCCCGAATAGAATGAATAGAGCCCCGTGAGTCTTCCAAGGTCTATGGGCTCTACTTTCATCCGCGTGCCAGATCGTGAGGGTCCATTCTCACCTAAGTTACATGGCCTCAAACTAGATTTATGACGAAGCGCCAGGTAACAACATGTGGCAAAATGCTAAATTATACACGCACTGCCGTGTTCAGCATCCGAGGGATCTCCATCCCTCCAGAACAATACTTCCTGGTTTAGAAAGTTGGGTCCACATCAAACATTAATTGGCAGTCATGCGGGACTGGTTGTCCCGTGGTGAGCGAACTGAAGTGAACATGTCGCATTTCGTTCACTTGATTCGCCTAAACTGTCTCTCACAGGAGAAAGACCTCTTGACGTCTGGAACATTCTTCCCCACTTGCAGATGCCTAATTTCTATGGTCATTTGCCGACAATCGTCCTCGTGTTGTTCCCCATTCGATTCGGTACACACAAACCCAGTCTCAATTCCTTTGTGCCACTTAGAACCCACCCCCTAATGAAGTTCGTGCTCCGGTTGATTCTATTCGCTTCAATCCGCAAACCAAATGAATGCTGGGGAATCCATGACCGCAGCGCAGACACTGAACCTTGGTCTCTGTGATTCGACGATTCCGCTATCAAAGGTTCCTAAGTAAAAAGCAAAGCAAAAAACGCTGCCGGATGGGGTAAAATTTGTGCAGGTAGGGTATTCGAGGGGTTCAATGGCATCTGACCGGGTTTCAGGAATGGGTGAATGCCAGGGAGCAAACTGCATGTTGGAGCAATTCGCGGATTACTTTTCGCTGCGATTCGGGCTATTCAGGGATGGGGTCAACAAGCCGGATCTAGCCCTCGTGCCCCTTCACCAACCAGGCGCAACGGCGATGATGACCACAGTCGAGGAAGAGCAGCAGTTTGGAGTTAGCGGTGCAGTGAGTGCGTGACGCCATCCACCATAGCTCCTGCAAATCTGCGGTCCATTGATTCATGTGGAGAGTTGAATCTCTCGAGGCAATCATGGATCCTAACCCTAGTTTGGATCCTCTTTGCCACAACTGGGTATCTCTTTTGCATGCTTTACGACAAATTTTCTTAAAGAAACCCCACTTCCCACAACCCATTTATTTCCATCGCTGCAAGCAACTCTGGCACGGATTATAGAACCACGGTAACTTCTATTTCACCGTCGCTGCTTTATCCTCCTTTTTCCTGTTGCTTCTTTGGTTACTTCCCCTGTGTGTGTGTGTGTTGTGGGTTTCTTCCTCTGAAGGTTTCTGCAGTAAGTTTTTGTTGTTCTATGATAAGACAACCAGGTGGGTGTGAGTTCTTGCACTTAACAAGGACCAGGGAGAAATAGAAAGAAGTAAGTGAACGTCCTTTATTTTTTTTTATTTTTGTATCATTGTGAATAATTTTTTTGTACTGTTTCTGGATTCTCTGCCACTTGTTACTGTTTTGTTATCCATCAGTCTTAAATGCGAAAAAGACATGGGGACCAAAAAGCTGTCCCCCCTTAGAAGCCTAAGATTTGTATGCATCCAAGCCTCTGCATCCTGCCTGCAGTGTGGCTAAAGCCCCTTTGTCATCAAGGCTTGAATTTGGGTCCACATGAAACTCTGAAAAAAGGTTTTGACAACAAATCTCTCTTGAGTGGGTAATATACATATATATATATATATATATAAACAGTTATTTATTTATTTATTTATTTATTTATTGAAGTGTTTATATACAATTCATGGCATGATTAACTTCTGGCAAAAGAATGAACACTCACGTGCTTCTAGTTTAGAGCTTTATTACTTTTGGAATTCACTTTCTAAGAATAAATACACAATCATTACATATGCGCTGAGGACACAATAATTTTGATATAATGAAAGAATATAGTAATGATAGTTTTAGAGAAAGAAAAGTTTGCATTTAATCAATTCTTGACTGAGTTTGTCATTTGAGTAAATACAACTAAATTAGCTATAAAGTTATATAAACCAGATTTGAAGACGACAGTGTTAATTAAAGTGTACAATCCTTAAAACAACAGAAGCAAAATCAATATTATATTACACGAAATAAAATGGCCAAGCTTGATTATAAATATGATAACTACCTTGTTAAAATGTGCTGAAGAATGATGAAAGGACGATTGTTGAGTTAAAAAACTGAGTGCAATGTGTGATGGTAGAATATTACAAAAAATATATACATGTATATGTCTATGAAATTTACTTACTTTTTAAAATAAATGCTGAAGCTCGAGCTTTCCATTTTAATTTATGAAAACTACTATTATTTTCACACAAATTACATCATACTGACAAAATCAAATCAAATCAAAGGCACCACTAGTATTATTTCAAGTTAACCTTCTTTTTTTTTTTCTTTTTTTTATAGCATTACAAAATTTACTAAAAACTATTATTCAAATTTTTGTTTTGAAACAAGTAGTAGCAATATTTGTCACAAGAAAAGTATGCAACATGGAATATGAAATCTGTACACGCACAAGAAACAAGTCCTCCTTATTTGACTTTGCTTTCTACCACATGTTGATTTGTTTAATTTGAGTTGTTTGCAGAAAAACTTTTTTTTTTTCTTTTTTTTTTTTCTTTTTTCTTCTTCTCCTTCTTCTTCTTAGACTTCAGTTTCACACACTTCTATATGTTCACTCAAAACCATTTACTTAATATTGGAATGTCTAAATACAAGCAAAAATAAAAACATTCAAAATTCATGTGATGACAATTATAATACAAATATACTAATACTAATATTAACAAAATGTATAAATAAGATAAATAATGTAAAAACAAGGTGCACTCATAATCCTTACTTAAATTTGATCAATACTTTGCTATTTCATTGTACTTCAATATGTTATTATGTAGGATGTTCTCATTGAGAACATATTCTTTTATATTGTCATGTTAGTTGTATCATGTTAAAAATAAATAAAAAATAAACAAAAATAAATCTTTAATGGTTAGAAAGCAATTTTGATACAAAAAATCATGTCTTTCCTTCTTATGTCCATACTTCTTAAGAACTTTTGCTTTACATTGCATATACTTTTAACATTACTTATGTTTAATTAAATTTATGTTTTGTGAATTTAGCATCGGAAAAAATAAATATTTCTATTTAAATAGAAGTATTTAGTATCATTCCCACTGGATGGATTGCCATCAAATATACCAAGTGAGGTCATCAAGGATATCAACTTGTCATCACAAATGTTACACAACGTTTTCAGAAAAATTACAAAGTTTTGAAAAGATTATATATATATATATATATATATACACACACATCTATATAAACATGCTTGTTATGTTTTATTGTTTATTTTTTTTTTAAGAACATTACATACATTGATTAAATAATACAACAACAAATGCAGATGAATTGCAATAATAAAATGATGAAAGTAATCAAGATTTGACCCAAAAATCTGAGGAAAGTGGTTTTTGTATTTTATTTGAGAAAAAAAAAATGCCATTGAGGTGCAAAATAATTATGACAAATACATACAGCTAATTGTAAAAACAAAAAAAAACTAAATGTTTTAGAAAAGAAAAACACGTTTGGTATTATGCACCAAATCAAAATATTAAATTGATTTGGTGTATAATGGACTTATGACAATTTTTTGCTTATATATATATATATATATATGTATATATGCACACACACACACACACTCACATTCACATTCACACACCCATGTTTGAGATATGTTCTGCAACCTAACTTTGGATCACTTCCAGTCCTGTAAAAATTTCCAAAGCTTGAATAAACGGTAATAATAATAATAATAATAATAAATCAAGCTTGCCCCATTATTTTGTGATGCGTCGAAGTGATTTCAACAGTTTTTCAAAAGCAAAATGAGAAAGTAAAAGTAAAAGTAAAAGGCCATGAATCCTGGTAGTAGAGTAGGGGTCAACGAGGGCCGGGCGAGCGCCGCGCCGGGTTGGCCCTGCCCACCCGTCCGCCCGTCCGGCTCCAACTGGCACGACCTCAGCTCCAGGATCACGGGCGGGCACGATCCCTTTCCCACCAGGGCCCCATTCCTCATGCGAATCTCGGGGCTGGGAGAGACCCCACCCGTGCTGGGGTGGACGGGCCGGGCCCTTTCGTCCTGTGCCCGACCTGGATGCTTCAGAAT